GCGTGGAGTGTTACTCAACAACTGTATATAAAACAACAATCTCTGCAAAGAGTACTTTCTTTGATACTTTCTGACCAGCACCATTGTACCCGTGATTTTTTGCTCGAATAAAATTGTTTTGAAACTTTCTGGATTGTAGTACTTTTCTACAATAAATCCTCAATAAACATACACACATTTCAAATGCACGAGGCAGCTGAAAAATAATTCCAGTACTTCAATTTTTTTTCTTTAGATGAAATAGTTGAAAAACATTTACTCTTCTATTTTTGGAACTCGGAAGAATTTCTAACTTTTTTCCCTTCATCCTTTTATAACCATTTTTCCTATTAAATCTTTCAGCTATATTTACTAACTTTTAATCTGAAAGAAATCATATAATGCCAGGTAAACAATAATCTTTTATGTTTATGATATCCAATGTTATTATTGCTTTACCGTTTGGCAACATTTATCGAATGAGTGAGTGAATATCAACGTCGCACTATTGAACTACTGGAGGGCTTTAGGCAACGAACCTCGTCATTTTGAACCACGGTCATGTGCAAAGAACGGCACCTGAGCTGGCACCCCCTTTTCCTAACTTCCATACCACACCAACGGGAAGTTGTAACTCTTGTTCAGCGGCGCTGCAGTCGCTTGTTTTCAAGTGTATATAGTATTCCTGCTTGTCTTGTAAATAAACGTTTGCCCCTCAACTGAGTAATAGCATTTTTCCTAGCGTCGCCTCAACTTCTGACAGGCAAGACATTATTATATCTATTTTTATTTGAAAAAAATTGAATTCAATTTTTGAAATACGATAACGAATGAAATACGAATTTGAACATTATTTTGAACTTTGAATTTGAACAGCCTCAATAGATTTAACGTGCATCAGCCCCCTCTGCACGGCGGGTCTTCAGGGGTATTATGCTCAAACTCATGACACCCCGGCCAAGAGTTCATTACCTTGGCCACAGCAATTTGTCGGGAATTGAAACTACTGGTAAATAAGTAAATACTGAAAGTAAAATGGAAAGAAAAATCAAAAGGGAATTTTAAAATCATAAATTGAGAATAATTGGGAATTTTTTAAATTTTGAATAATTAATTGAGTATACTTCTTTATTTTAGATATACCTGTGAGAAATTTTAAATACTTAACATGCCTGCAAATTGAAAACGAAAACCAGAATTTTATTAAATTTAAAGTGTCAGCATTTTTATCGAACATACGCTTATGTATCTTTTGCAGATGTAGTTTTACATCGAAGTTGTTTTGAGCGGCGTCTTATAGGAAAAGATCTCGAATGTGCTGAAGGAGCAAAGTTGTAAAATATTCATTTCTAACTAAACAACGGAAAATTGTTTTTGTTTTAATGTACCGGGAGGGCAAAAAAGCCGCATAAACTTAAAAAATTTATAAAACCCAGAAAATCAAACAAAATAAAAAACGGTTTGCAGGTTTAGCATCAATAAGCCACGGGAATTTTTTTTAGAACAAGGAAAAGAAAACAATTAAAAAAACTCCAAATATAGGTGGGGTTTCGTACATAAGTGAAATAAAAGTCTCCCAAATAACAGAAATAACGTTACTAAATCATTTATTACAGCAACATGTGTTCCACTTATCTACCACCGCAAGGGGTGATACATTTCAAGGGTGTCACAAATCTAGCAACGGCAGAGCACAGAATGTCCGCCTGTATATATGACAGCTCTCGGTGAATCACATCTTTCAATTCTGACAGATAGGATGGACAGGATTAGTACACCCAGGAATCCCCACAGCCAAAAATTTACTGGCGTCAGATCTGGAGACCGAGGAGGCCATGTAAACTTGAAACGTTTGACAATGATTCTTAGACCTGGTCGTTCGGATCTTACACGATCCTCGAGCGTTCCAGTTTCCTCAAATCTCAGAACAAGCTTTATGTACCAATGTCGAAGGCCCTCTTTTCCAGTCTTCCCATTTTTCTGAAGTCGGAATTTGTGCAGTGCAACAGTCGCTGAATAATTGTTCATGAAAAACAGCTTCATCAACAAAGCTTTGTCTTTCTTACTCAGCACCCTTGTTTACTTAGTTGGCATGCAACGGAGAATAAGATCTGGTTCAAGAGCATCGATATTTGCAATCGCCTGTCTTATTTGCACATTTCCAACTCAGTCGTTTATACCAATGCCATCTGTAGGCAGGGTTTTTTTCTTATCTTAAAAAAAATCTCGTGACTTATCGATGCTAAACCTGCAAACTGTTATTTATTTTGTTTAATTTTCCGTGTTTTATACACTTTATACGAATTTTTTGCCCACTCTGTATTTCCTTCATAGCAGCATTTTTAGTTTTCTAAATGTAAATGCATTGCTTGTAAGATTAATCAAATCTATTGGACATCATTTTAATTTCAAAGAGTTTATTAATTATACTTAATTTAATGTTTTTTAATTTGGAAGATTTATAAATCCTGTTTAAATATCAGAGCTCCTTTTAACTTCCAGTAGCATTTTAATTCGTATAATTTGCTAAAACGCAAAAAGAAAATCGTTGCGTAGGAACATGGAGTTTTTGAAAGGCATAGAAACTCAAAGTGGATAGGCCGAAACAATTTTAATCTGTAGGAGGAGACAATTCTCTGACTGTAAATAAATATGTACATCAGAAATTGGAAAACACCAGCGGCGTCAACCCTATTTCTTTAAATTTTATTCGCTTGATTATAAAACAGCTCAATTGCTCAGAATCCATTTTAATGGCGTACAATTTGATTTTTTAATCCGAGTTATTCTCGAAGGATATTTTTAGTTTGACCACTTCAGCCAGTTAGAAGGAAGACCACAGACATTTTCTCCCTTACATTTCCTATTTTATGGATATCTTTTTTTGCTACTATGTGTCGCACGCATGTATAACAAGTAATATAAACTTTTATAAAGTCAATTCCTACTTGAAAAACAATTTGAGCTTCTCATGCCTGGTAGTTGGATAATCAATGTATATTAACGCCATCTATTGCCTTCAATCGGAACAAATTTAATTTTTCCTCTCATATAAAATTAAAATGAATTAAATTTAATTAATAAAATATTTGTGTGTGAAAACACTGTATCAACATCAAGTGTCAACCACAAAAAGTTTTAAAAATGTATTTAAACTTGAGTGGATGAATAAAAAGTATTTTATTAACGATTGAAAATTTGAACAAGATATATAAATAAATATATATAGGGTGAGAGTGAAAACTAATAAAGAGAGTAGGAATTGAAAAACAGCTATTACGTTTCAACTCTTCAATAATTTATAAAGCTCTTTATTGTATATACACTAACACACGGGCTCGGAATATATGAATTTAATTCCTCAGAGTCGCAATAAAACTAAAGAAAACACAAACGAGATACATCTTATATTTTACATGAAAGATATACTCGCATATGTAAATAAATGTATATAAGGAGAGAGTGAACTGTTAGTAGGAATAGAAAAAGGAGAAAAGCGAATCACTATCATCACGAGATCTCCGGAACTATTAGTCCTACAGACTTGAAATTTGGCATGCATGTTCCTTTTGTTAAGCAGAGATCATCTAAAATCGAGTTTTGCGAAAATCAACTCCCAATGGGGTCTCAGGGATGGCCGATACCTAATTTAAATATGATTTTACAGACTTGAAACTCGTCAAGTATGTTTCTTTTGTTGAGAAGTTTGCTAAAAACTGTTTTTCCGGAAACTGATTTCCGAACTCATAGCATGCCGCCCATGAGTTTATAACCATGACTACTAGGCTACCGTGGTCACTCAATTCGGCCGAAATGTAAGCTTATTTTACTATATATAGAGATAACATTTACCAACTTCTTTTATTTTGGATAAATGTATTCCAGTTTTAATCAGAATGATGCTTTCAGTTCTATTCAAAATGCTCCTCTCAACGGTGGGAGCAGGCACAGCACCAAATGAAAAGATTTTGTGAAAGATGCCTAAAAATAGTATATGAATATTGGAAAAGGGATTCAAAATTCGCATAATTTAAAAACTTGATTCCTGGAAATTTTTATCCCATCCCAATTTAAGGTATCCGACTTGCCTAAAATTGTGAATTTTACCCAAAATTAATAAATTTTTAATGATTGTATTTCATAGGCAATATTTTTAGTTTTCCAAAAATACCAAGTTTATCATTTTCCATTCACTAGAACAGAAACTATAAGTGTTTTAGTAAAAGCAGATGTCACTATTTTAAGCAAGATGTCATACTTTAAAATGCGTTTTACTCGATATGGCTTTCTTTTTAAATAATGAAACGGGGACAGCGATTACTCAAAAAGTATTGAAAATAACAAACTGTAATCTTTTGTCCATGTTCTGTATAATAGTAAAAATGTTTTAACCTTCATATTTATCAATTACTGTTTTATTACGTGGTTTACAGTCCCTTATGTAAATATAACCACTGTTTTTTTAAGCAATTTCATATAATAACCAAGATAAAGTGCTCTAGATTTTGTAAAAATAATTTTTTTTTATCCTGAAGGTTATTTCAAAAATGAATAACAAAGCAACACATCAGAAATGAAAACTTGCACATAGACCTTTTGTACGGAACGGGCCCCATTTATGTAATTTTTTGTAAAATTTTACCAATTTTTGACTATTTTAGTTACATAGTTTCTTTTTCTCTTCTTAATTTTATCAAATATTTCTTAAAAAATACTAAATAAATCTAGCAAGTAATATAAAAAAAATAAAGTGAATTTCTACTTATATATATGTCGACAAAGAAAAGTTTTAGTCACTTATTATTAAATAATTACAATTAATATAAATATATGTATACATACGACAGAATCACACTATTAAGTGGCAAAGTAAAAAGCGATTTTCCTTGTTATTTTTCATTTTCTTTTCTATATAAGGTGTTGGACTATTATTTTTGTTTTTGTTACTATTTATTCATTCATTAAATTTAATTATTCCATTAAAATAGTATAGCAAAAAGAAATCCCACTCTCAGAAGCTATGCCATCCCAGGTGGGATTTGAACCCACGACCTTTGGATTAGAAGTCCTACGCGCTATAACTTGCGCGGCAAGGTCTTTTTAATATATGGTGTTGGACTGTTATTTTTATTTGTAACTATTTATTCATTAATTAAAAAATTAATGAATTAATATTTGAAAAATTGTATTAGCATCAAGTGTCATCCACTACAAGTTTAAAAAAATGTATTTGAACTTGAGTGGATGAATAAAAAGTATTCTATTATCGATTGAAAATTTGATTAAGATTATATATATATATAGGGAGAATGTGAACTAAAATAGTAGGAATTACAGAACCACAAAAAAATCCCTAAATCTCCGGGGTTTTTTTTAAAAAAAAGTTGTCGCAAGTAGTTGGATATCTTAAGATCCAATATTCCCATAGATCTAAAATTCTCTCTTTATACCAGCTATTCATAGATAATACCTATTTCTTTTATGCAATACAGCTTTATCTAAAGATTTTAGAAAGGAATTTAAATGGGTTCTTTATCAATACCAACGAGACTCGTGAATTTAAACTGCATTTGATCTAAAGGAACGGTTTTAAATTACAGCATTTCTCTTGATTTCTAAATAGGCATACTTTAAATGGTTTATGGGGCTTGCCTTTCGGAAAAGTAGGATGGACGTTTTGGAATAAGGTTTCACTTATGAATGTCATTTTTCTTCTTCTAAAGAATGGGTTCGGTTTTTGATCAATTTAAAATAGAAAGTTGTATAACGTTTCCATTTGTAAGCGATTCAAAAATTTAAAAATGAGATTTTTTTTTCAGTAGTGGAATTACAGAAAAAATTACCTTGTATCGCTTTTCTCTTGAAGTATTGTTCCTTTCTGTTACAAATAAATGGAAGTAGAATACCAAAATAGAAATATTTAAAATACGCGAAAGCTCATCATAATATTCCAGAGAGGTGACTTTTTGCACACATTGAAGTAGATTATTTTTATATTCTTAAAATATCAATAAATCGCATAAATCTTTTAAAGCTTTTTTTACAAGTGTTATTTTAGGGTAAAAGTTTAAATCTTTATAAGAAATCATAAATCTTTCTCTGAAACTCTTTTTAACATTTTTTCAAAATTGTCAATGAAAGCAAAAGCTTATTTTTCGAAGGATATTGCATACACAGTGTGTCAAATAAGTTTTAAGACTCGCCCCACAACGTAGGTTCTGATGGCACCATGAGTGTAAATGTTCATGTGTTATAATCTTCAGGTTCTGCTAACACACAACCAACAAGCTCTGGGTATTTAGTACAGTAGCCGAGAGAAAACGAGCATTCACTGCATAATCTTTTTTTCATCTCGATTTTTTAAGATGATAAAAAGAGCCGTGATTAAATTTAACGCAAAACTTGGTAAAAGTGCTTCGGCAACATACTGTAAGGACTTCAAACAAGCTCTTGACTACTATTTATTTTACAGTAAGAAAATTCATCAAAATTAGTTTCAGTACAATTTGATTGTAAAATGAGTCCACAAAAAAGTCCTCTTTTGCTGCAAAGACTTATTTCTCTCGCATGAAATAAGGTACTAAAGTGTTTCTTTAGAGGAAAATCCTTTACATAGGATATGTTACAGGGGTCCAACTCCCGGTAATTCCACCCCGAGTTTGGGGTGAGCTCGCCGGTTCAAAATCCGCCTTAATTCGCGGACTCAGTATCGCTGTATCTATCGTTGGAGGGGCCTCAAGCGGTTCCCTCAAGTAAAGTCTGATCTTGGTGCCTACGGTGCAATAACTTGGCATATGACTCGCGAGCCTCAATCCCATATCTGAAAGTAGATGTAGAGCGACTGTGATGTTATCATGCTGGGGAGTAGCTAGCTTCCGATTGGTCGAGCCAATCGTTCGGAAAAGTTCCAAGCTCATGATGGTTTTGGATACTTGGGTGAGAGCTGAGTGTGCGCTCTCTGTTTGGATCATGACGGGTGAGGATAGTGATTCTCATTGGCTGCTTAAATCTCTCAAGAAGAAATTTAAGACTAAAAGAGGAGGGGCAAGCCCAGATGTGGGAAATCATTCAGCCCTGGATCTTGCCTAAGCAAGTCGAGTATTATGGAAGCTCCGGTCGATGACCAGTGTATTAACATGGAGGACCTCGGTCTCCCCTCGCCACCTAAATTCCCTGACGAGCTACGTTGCTCGCAAATTAAAAGTGTCCAAATGGAAATGCGGATCTTTACCGCAAGAAAGACTTACGTCTCTGAGTTGTTGGAGATTGAAAAAGAGACAAACGGCCCGAGGACGGAAACGGCGCAGAAGTCAGAAGCAGAGATGACGTCCCTTGATGAAAAGATTAACATCCTGGAAGGTAAGATGAATGAATTATTACCTTGCCCAATAGCACTCTGTTTCCATAATAGTAAAAATAAAGCGGTTAAAAGAACCGCCGATCCGGTGATCAGACCGGCTAAATTTACGGCAAAAGCCAATAACAACAACAGTAAAACTAATATTAATATCAAAAATAAAAATGAAGCGATTGATTTCGTTTTCCCTAAGAAAACAAGTAAAATTGTTCCAGTGAAAGAATTGGAGCAACTTAAAACAACCAACGCTTTTGCAGCCCTCAACACTGCAACAGTCGACGCCGAGGACGTCTCCCCACCCAAACCAAAAATTAAACCTATTTTTATGCAAATTATAAACTCGTATAACCTAATCCTTCAAGAACTTCATCGTTCCTACCCCACTGCAACTAATACCCACATGAGGGGTTATATAAAAATTGAAGCGCAAAGCACCGATGTGTGTGTGTGTGATCACAGGGATATCACCAATTACCTGAAATCTAAAAACTTAGAGCACTATGTAATAGATCCTCCCTCTACCAGACCACTTAAACTGGTCATAAAAGGTCTCCCTGACAATATAGATCCTGAGGATATTAAAAATGACCTCATATCCAAGGGTATTAAAATCATTAAAATTGCTCAACTTAAAAAATTCGTCACCATAACTCCCCTACCTATCTACATGATAGAGATAGAGCGCGATGAAAATGTCAATGACATTTTTCAAGTGCGCAGCTGTCTCTACATGCAGATCAAGCTAGACCCCTTTAGGAAGGGTAATCGTATTACCCAATGTTACAATTGTAACTATTTTCATCATGCTAGCCAAAACTGCAGTATGAAAACTCGTTGTCTGAAATGTGGTGAAAACCACAGGACAGGCGCGTGTGAAATAAAAGAAAAAATTGATAATCCCCTTTGCATAAATTGTAATACTAGAGGCCACATGGCCTCCTCCACTACATGCCCCCAATTTCCCAAGCCCAAAAAAGGTAAAGGAAAATCCCCTATTGAAAACCTCAAGCGCAATACCTCAAGCAACCAGGTTATCTCCGGAATCAGCAACGCGCAAATTCTTAATCCCAATTCGAATCAACAGATGGCAACACCCGGGAATACCTCCTCGGCGTCAAACAAACCTGAAAATAATAAAACTGAGCAAATTAATTTAGAGGCACTTAATGCCGCTCAATCAGAAACTGGCGAGTTTGGCTTTCTTCAAGCCATACTCGAAAACAATTCAAAAGATTTTCACTCTCTTTCCCTCACTTCTAAGTGAGATGAAAAAATCCTTTAGTTGTACAAACCCAGCGGATAAACTCAACTGTCTGCTAAAGGGAGTTTGCTCCTCCCTAAACAATCTAACTGTGAATAATGTCTAGTTCCTTTTTCGGGCTCTCCATTTTTTCCTGGAACGCTGACGGAGTGAGATCGCGTATTGTTGAGATGCGCGATTTCATTGATAAGCACGCCCCCGATATATTTTTAATCCAAGAGGCACATCTGAGACCTGAACATTCATTTAAAATTCCAAATTATTCTTGCTATAGGAACGACAGGACCCACCCAGCCCCTGGCTGGGGTGGAACTGCGCTCCTAATTAAAAATTGTATTTCGCATTACCATGTCCCCACCCCGCCCCAGTTTACTGGTGTAGAGATGACTCTGATCGTGCTCACACCCATCGATCACTAACCGATCCTTATCGGATCAACCTACATCCCTCCGGTAAATGAATATTTTAGAAACTTCAATGCTGCCCTCGACCCCATTTTTAATTACAATAATAAGACCATTTTAGTAGGGGACTTTAATGCTAAACGTACCTCGTGGGGTTGCCCCATTAGCGGCACCAGAGGAAATAAATTATATCAATACATAACGAATAATAATATTGACGTTCTAGCACCACCTACCCCTACTAGGTTTGGTACTGCTTCAGCCACAATTATTGATTATGCCCTAATTAAAAACTTGAACTGGCCCTGCAATATCGACTCAATCTCCGAACTCAGCTCGGATCATAACCCAATTAAGTTATATTTCCCCAGAACAGCTAAATTTGAAATTCCCCCACCCCAACTCAACACTACTTGGAGTGTATTCACGAAAACTCTTGCAAACACAGAAAACTGCTACTTACCGCAAGCCACCTCAACCCCGGAGATTGAGTCCCAAGTCAGGGAACTCACGAGCGAGATTCTCGCTGCCCATGCTAAAGCTTCACGGCCAATGACCCATTCGGAGCCGCCATATGTACAGGGTGAGCTCGAACACCTATTCAGAGAGAGGAATAGAGCCAGAAAGCTCTGACAATTCACAAAATTCCCTCAGCACAAAACAGAATTAAATAGAATACAAAATAAAATTAAAAGAAAAGTCGGAAAATACAGACAACAGGTATGGGAGGAGCACCTTCCTTCCTTGGATGCCGAAGACAGCTCCCTTTGGGGAATCGCTAGAGCATTCAGGAAAAAGGCCTCCCCGATCTCCGCCCTTAATGGCCCCAACGGCGTTGCTCTCAGTAACACAAACAAAACCGAACTAATCGCACTTTCACTTGAGAGTCAATTCCAGTTAAATGACATTCACAACCCACACAAAGACGAAATCATTACAAACATTGTGGATGCATACGTAACAAATCATACCAATAATAACACTACTGATCCTATCCCCCCCGCTCTCCTCTCGGAACTAATTATACTTACATTAAAAAGATTAAAGTTAAGAAAAGCCCGGGAAGAGACGGAAT